AACCTAGACTCTGCTAGGTTTTTTCCGATCATTGCTACACTCTGCTATTACATTGCCTCACTGATCACCCCACTACCTGGGACTCTGCGATTTATGTTAATTCACTTAGTTCACTCACCTACATATAATTCACTTCTCTGGTAACCCGCACAGACTCCGCTAAGTTTCTTGATTCGTTATGTTATAATCTGCTAACTCACTTGCATTGCCTTAATAATTACTGGTAACACGAACTCTGCTGAGATTTATGCTGATTCATTCTGTTATACTCTGCTAACTCAATTATATATGCCCCACCGATTACTAGTGACCAAATCGACTCTACTGAGCTCTATGAATTACGGCACTTTGAGGATCCTGCATATTGTTCTTGTCAAAAAATTGGCCCATGTTATAATGTACAATTCCATGAAGATGATTATTTACTTTTGTTTCTGTGTTGCACATAATAGAGTATGGTATGAACAAACTATCAAGAAGGTCCTGCAGTCCTCGTCTTCCTTATTTAAAGTAAGCCAAGCTTCCGTAGAATTTCATCGATAGTTTGGGAAAGAACTTGATTGGAAGTTTCGCTCAAGGCTTAAGGGATTTCCGCAATGCTTGAATGGCGTTTTCGAGGGGGAGATGCTAAGATTTCGCAGGTGACCTGAGAAAACTTCGGATGGAGTTTTGAGGAAGCTCTACTAATTTGTCTGAGAAATTGATGATCCATTGTAGTCTTTACGGTTAAACGCAAACGTGTAAATATTTTGAGCGGTTTGTTATGCTTATTATTATTGAATTTATTATAGGTTATTTTTGAATTGACTATTATCAAAGTTACACGCAAAGTTATAACTCGATGCTATATGCTTTTTGAAAATGGGCTTCAATATATATTAGACTGATGAACAGTCCTGTCAATTATTTTTCAAAATTTATGATTTCACTTAATTAAAAAACACTGGAAAGAGATTCTCAGAGATGCTGTATTTCGTTGAGAGTAACTCGTGCTACTTATAATTATTGCATGAATGTAACGTATTCATCCATTTGTGATTTGTGACGGCAGTTAACACGCAGGACATACTTCATTCTAGAGCATAAATGGATTCTAACGCGGTGATCCATTGGAAACATCACCAATAATTCTTTTAGTCTTGTTTCAACCTAGTTTTTCTGAATTCCTTTTTTATATATTACACACCGTTTCAGATTATTGATTGTATCGGTTCTACTAGATTTTGCATCTATGATGGTACGGCAAGAGAACGCTTCCAAAATGTGACGAACAGTAAAGTAAAGGTGACTGTTTCATACTGTCAACATTCTTATTGGTAACGAACAGGGGAATGTGCTGCGGTTAGAGGTTTTCTCTAAAAACTCAAACCCAATACTTGTCTAGTTATATCTAATCACATCTTATTTCATGGTT